GAAGGGGCTTGCATAGCTCAATGAAGCTGTGAGCTATGGCGTGCAGGGCCACACAAGACAGACAGGTCATAGCAAAGAGCTCTGATAAAACATGATCCACTGGAGAAGGAAATGGCAACTCACTCCAGTATCTTTGCCATGGACGGTACCAAAAGGCAAAAAAGGCCTTGAGGAACGTTGCCCATGGGTTCGCAATGGGTCGGAAACAACTTTGCAACTAACAGCAACAACGACAACAATAACAAGAGTAATTCAGCAATCCAACAGTTGTCTATTCTGCAGGATAAGTGATTGGGTTTATTCAGCCTGGTTTGAACTTTCCTGAGCCATGACTAAGTAAGGGAATGTATAATTTAACTTTCATTATGCTCCAATTTATTTATTTATTTATTTATTTATTTGTCTTGTATGCCGCCCCCTCACTCCCGAAGGACTCCGGGCGGCTCACAATAGACAAGGGAAAGGGGAAACTAGACAAAGACAACATATTTAAAAGCAAAAGCCAACATTCACAATATGTTCCATCAAAGCATTAAACTAGGGCATTGTTGGAAATTTGAACGTTAGCTTTCTGTTCTGATCCAGAAAGTCCAGTTTTTTATGGGAAGAGAGGAACCCAGAATAGGAAAACCCCACAAACCATCATTTTGACAAGAATGGATTTGTCTCTATTTCCCAGTCATGTGTATCAATATGCATGCTTTGTTTAGTAACCCATATTATAAGCATGATTGCTATGTTAACTATGCATTTAATTTAATTCAATACTTCAGTTATTCTGTACTGCAACCTTTGGGTTTTAAGACAAATTTTGACAACAGAAGTGATACTAAAGGTACAACAGGCGAGGAGTGATGATGCAAACGTAATCAAATGAATATTTGCAACACGGGCAACATACACAGTTTCTCTTGCTTACTCTCTTCTCTCCTTTCCCTATAAACAGGTAGAAATGTATATTTGCATATCCTTTAGTAGAACAAATGTGCAAGTTCTGGTTCTTGTCAGGACAAATGCATTTGGAAAAACCTTTAATCCTTCTTAGATCTCTTTCTTTTTCTTTTTTCAGAAAATTTATCTCCACCCTCCTCTCCCCTTTACATTTTAATCCATTAGTGCCCCTGGGGTCTTAAAGAATAAATCCAAGCATGTTCAGGGAATTAATTTCCTTCTACATAATAGAGCTGAAAGGGAGAACTAAATTTCCTACTTTTTCATATGGTGTTCTTAATTTGAACCATCCTATGCTTACTCTAATGTAGGGTTAGATAACCAATGGCCCCAGGATGGTACATAAACTTAAACAATGTTTAGAAAAATTGCAGAAAACGTATCATTCAATTTCCTACAATAAGGAAACTTCGACTTTGTTATAATCCATAAAAATAAGTTTAGAATATAATAGAATAAAGAGTTGGAAGGGACCTTGGAGGTCTTCTAGTCCAACCCCTTGCTTAGGCAGGAAGCCCTACACCACTTCAGGCAAATAGTTATCCAACATATTCTTAAAAAACATCCAGTGCTGGAGCATTCACAACTTCCTTCATTAGTTTCCGCCCATTGCTTCTTGGAGCATAGTTTGAGTCTCTTTTCTTTGTGGCAACCCCTGAGATATCGGAACACTGCTATCACAGTTTAAAAAACAAAGAAACCTCACACTCCTTAAAATGAAAAGCAACTTTCCCCAAATCCCAGCACCGTTGAGATGCATGACAATATGATGTCTATTTTGAACTATCTTCCCATCCACAACTTATTGGCTCTACTCTCCCATAGGATCTCCAGGTCCATAAACAAAACCAAGTTTTAAAAGAAGGCCAATAATGTTGGGGCAAATCTTATCTTGGGAAGAATGGTGTTTCAAAGGGTGGGGGCCACAGCACAAAAGGGTCTCCTCCTGTTGTTAATTCCTCTAACCCCCATATCTTTTAACTTAACCCAGGAATGTCCAAACTTTTTGCAAGGAGGGCCAGATTCGGTGAGGTGAAAATGTGTGGGGCCGACCATTCAGCCTGACATTCTTTGAACCATTAACATTAAATGCAAATGAACTATTTTATGAAAGACTAAACAAGTAACACTATAGCGGGGAGAAGAGGCTGTGGGCTGCTCAAAATGTGAAAACGGGCCACAATTGGCCCCCGGGCCAGACTTTGGACATGCCTACCTTAAGCTTTCTACCGTGGACCTTACACATTTCTTAAGAGGTCCCTAAGGGGGCGTGCATAAGCGCACCAGCGTGCCTATCGTCCAGTGGTGGGTTTCAAAAATTGTTCGAACCTACACTGTGGGTGTGGCCTCCTTTGTGGGAATGGCTTGCCGCCCATGTGA